AGGGTTTAGTTCACTGCGGCAGGGAAGGCATGTGAGCAGGAGTGTAAGGGGGCCGGTCCCATTGCAACCCCAGCCAGGAAGCAGACGGAGGAAGGCCAGGGCCCGGTTCACTTCTTCCTCTTTGTTAAATCCATGATCCATCCCACGGAATGCTGGTTCTCACAGTTAGAGTGAGTCTTCCCACTGTAATCAACACAGACATGCCTGGAGGATTCTTTCCATGGTGACTCTAAATCCCAGAAGGCTGACAGTCAAGACTGACGAGCTCACTAGGAAAATGCCAGTGCTCCACTGAAGGGCATGCTAGAGTTGGTTCCTGTGAGGGCTCAGGGAGAAGAGGGAAGCTACTGGTGGTGTTTTCCATCTTGTTAGCCGATGCCCGATGCTGACGTACAACATACGCCTAAGATATGGGGGGTTAAGCCACTCCTACCCAGCCTCATGGGTAAACGGGGAACACATTCGAAACGAGGTAAAGCAATCCTGCTGTAAACTGGCAGTGAATTTGGCTGACCTGTGTTCGTATCCTAGTGTTTTGTGGAAGTACAACTGAGGCAGAGGGAGTTTGTGAGGTTGCTTGCTCCTGGTGACAGAGCCAGTATTTTGTGAGGAGTTCCTGGGTCTGACTCGTTGAACACTCATCTCATCCTGTGTGGGGATGTTTCCATTTTAGACAGGGGAAGATCTTGATGACAGCTCAGACCCTACAAGGGATCAAATGAGAGAATGTATGCATGTGCTTTTCAATTTATTTTAGTGTGTGTGTGTGTGTGTGTATGTGTGTGTAGGCATGCACATGCCATGTTACACATGTGGAAGTCAGAGGACAATTCTCAGGCATCTATTCTCTCCTGTCACCTTGTGGGATCTGGGATTCAAACTCTGGTCCTCCATCTGTGTGCCAGCATCTCTATCTGCTGAGCCATCTTGATGGTCCTGAATCCACTTGTAATCTGTAGTTTGGGATCTAGCCATTATACATGGAGACACTCTGCACTGCTCCATAAATGAATTAGACTCTGTAGTTTGGGATCTAGCCATTATACATGGAGACACTCTGCACTGCTCCATAAATGAATTAGACTCTGTAGTTTGGGATCTAGCCATTATACATGGAGACACTCTGCACTGCTCCATAAATGAATTAGACTCTGTAGTTTGGGATCTAGCCATTATACAAGGTGAGGGTTCCTGGATGCCTGATGAGAAGCTGCAGCTGGGAAGGTGACATCCTAGTGACTCAGTGACAGGCACTGAGGAAGTGGGGTGTGCAGGGAAGTGGGGTGTGCAGGGAAGGGGGACACAGGAACGAGCCCAGAGACAAGCTGTGTTCCTTTGGGACTGCCAGCCCTGTCACAAAGCCAGAGAGTGGTCCTCACTCTGCTGCTGGGTGTTACCATCCATCCCATAAAACACCAAGGAAGTTAGACGGTCTGGATAGTGCTCGATGGGCTTGGGGTGAATGCCATGGTCCGCAAGTGGTGTGGTAATAATGTGGTCATTGATGTACAGTGAGTAAGAGAGATCACGGGTGAGAAGCAGTGTGTCCAGAAGCCGGGCATGGACAACCACGGTAGGCTTAGCAGCAGAGAGAAGGAAGTACTGGGTTACACAGTCACCTCACCTGGAAACCTGATGAGGCCCAGGGCTGGGCCAGGTGCAACACGGAAAATAAAAAATGGGAAAATCGGAGTGAGTGCAAAAGCAGACACCTGGTAACCCATGTTTGTGGCTGACAGGAAAAGCTCTTGTGACTGAATCAACATGGTGACATGCGTTGTCTTCTGCGAAGTTAATTCCTGGCAACCACACAATTGAGTTACCTAGAAAACAAGCAAGACAAAAAAATGCCATGTTTTAAGTGAGTTTATGATTCTGTGTTGGGCTGTGTTCATAGGTGTCCTCAGCCCCACATGGCTCATGGGCTGTGAGTTGAAAGTACCTGACGTGGTAGAAGCAAAGGTATAGGCCCATGCCTGGCACATGTGACGACTAGACCACAGTTGTGTCTACACAGGTTGACTATCTCCCCAGTAAAGGAGGTTTGCTGGGTGCTCAGTAAGAGCCCGACATTTATGGAAAGGTGCGAATTGACCATTTCACCAGAAAGTTACATAAATTATTAATCTACGGTTTCAGCTAAAAAGAAAACCTATTTAGGCATCATCTATAAAAAGAGATCATCCATCAATCGTGAATGAGCCCCGGCGGACAGGAGGAAGACATAACTGTCATGGTCCTATCACAGCTGGTCATGTGACAGGTGACAGCAGTTGTGGAAGGAGTCACTTTACAAATAACACCCCAGCAGGGACCCACATTCTTTCCTCAGAAGGAAGAGGGGAGGACACTGAAGGGTACAAACCCACTTCCAGCTTCAGTGGGACTGGAGGGGCATCCTGTACACACCTTTCGCTAGGAGTGAAAGAAATAAAACAGGGAGGTGCCAAAGCTGGCTAGGTATTGTTATG